ATGCTTTAATAAATCCATCGAATCCTCTACTTCCCTACTCACCACTCTCTTCACATCCACCCACCCATCTCCCAACACCTCACTCTCCCACCCACATCTCCAACAAGACACAATTTTCACTCATAACCCACAATTTTTCTGGTTTTAACTATTTCATCAGAAAAGTCACCACAACACTTACAACTTATAACCACTAATCCATTTCACTAGTCACAATTTTATATACAGTGGTCCCTCGCTTTTCGTAGTTCTCGGCAATCGTAAAATTTCGCCAATCATAGGGGTATTTTCGTATAAACATGGACTCGCTTTTCATAGGTTGACTCGCGGATAGTAGTTCATCTGGGATGCGTACGCACGGTGTGAGCCGGGGCGGCCTCACTACCCAGCAACTCTGGCATTGTTTTACCAGTGAGTGAAAGTCCCCACAAGTGCTCCTACGAAATATTTCATAATATGTATTCCACTCATTTTAGTGCTTGCAATTACTAAATAAGCTACCATGGCTCCAAAGAAAGCTCCTAGTGCGAAGCCTGTGGTAAAGAAGGTGAGAAATATGTACAGTGACAAAGTCTTGGGCCCATTTTAGGGAAGTGTTAAAGGGACGCCAGAAACAGAGCTCTCTCCACAGTTACTTTGCGAGACAGGACTAGAGTGACTCTCAAGGTGGTCCTAGTGGCATTAAGAAACAGAGAAGAGAAGCAACCCAGAGAAGCAATTGGTACCTGAGGTGTTGCTGGAAGGGGATTCCCCTTCCAAACTGTAAACAAATCCACTCTCTCTCCTCCTCCAGTTCTCCCATACACTAAGAAGAATCTCCAATAAAGGTAAGTGTTATGCTGTTAATGTTTCATCATCACTTCCCATTGTATTGTTTATGTACTACATGTATATTTCATGTAAAAAATTTTTTTGTTTTAATGCTTCTGGTGTCAGGAAACGGATTAATTGTATTTACATTATTTTTTATGGGGAAAATTGATTCGCAAATCGTAAATTTTGTTTATTAGTAGCTCCTCCAGGAACGGATTAATTACGAAAAACGAGGGACCACTGTATTATGACAAAAGATTCTCTTGCCACAATTTCACCAATACAAGAAAGATTTTTACTAATAATGTTCACAACATTTCACATTTTTATACACACATCTCTTCAGAACACACAAAAAATCACATTCACACACACACACACACTATTCACTCATTTCACCTGTCTCAATTCAACCAAAAGATACAAATTCACTCAATTTTTTTCTCGCATGACACTAATACACAATTTTCACTCTTAACCCACAATTTTTCCCCCATTTTTACTAATTCATCAAAAAGCCTCAAAACATATTTTTACATATTACGAAGTTTAATACCCATACACACACATACACACACACACACACACACACACCTGGTCCGGCAACTGGCTTCCTGAATTTAATTCCGCCAAATGCAAAGTCATGAAGATAGGGGAAGGGCACAGAAGACCGCAGACAGAGTATAGGCTAGGTGGCCAAAGACTTCAAACCTCGCTCAAGAAGAAAGATCTTGGGGTGTGAGTATAACACAGAGCATGTCTCCGGAAGTATACATCAACCAGATAACTGCTGCAGCATATGGGCGCATGGCAAACCTGAGAACAGCGTTCTGATTCCTTAGTAAGGAATCGTTCAAGACACTGTACACCGTGTGCGTCAGGCCCATACTGGAGTATGCTGCACCTGTTTGGGACCCGCACTTGATAAAGCACGTCGAGAAACTAGAGAAAGTGCAAAGGTTTGCGACAAGGTTAGTTCCAGAGCTAAGGGGAATGTCCTATGAAGAAAGGTTAAGGGAAATCGGCCTGACGACACTGGAGGACAGGAGGGTCAGGGGAGACATGATAACGACATATAAAATACTGACGCGCGGAATGTTCAGGGAGGGGGCACAGAAACAAGAGGTCCCAATTGGAAGTTGAAGACACAGATGAGTCAGAAAGATATTAGGAAGTATTTCTTCAGTCATAGAGTTGTCAGGCAGTGGAATAGCCTAGAAAGTGACGTAGTGGAGGCAGGAACCATACATAGTTTTAAGATGAGGTTTGATAAAGCTCATGGAGCGGGGAGAGAGAGGGCCCAGTAGCAACCGGTGAAGAGGCGGGGCCAGGAGCTAAGACTCGAACCCTGCAACCACAAATAGGTGAGTACACACACACACACACACACACACACACACACACACACACACACACACACACACACACACACACACTTTTCTCAATATCTCTTAAGAAATATATTCTCTCATGAACAGCCTTTACCATCTCACTACAGAACAACCCCCATCAAAACACTCTCAAACATCGTTTGAGCACTTCCAAATAACAAGAGAATACTTCCAAACATCATTTGAACACCTTCAAAAAACACCTTTGAATATTCCCAAATAACATTTGACATTTCTAACTCATCCACACTTACATATTTCATTAAATAACATCTCATCCCCCAAAACTATTCCCTCATTCTCCAGATTTTTAGAACATTAGCACAAAAAAAAAAAACTATCTCATACACTTATGTACTACTACCAAAACTAACACACAGACACTAACACTTTACTTTGAACACTATCAAAAACACTCTCATACATCATTCGAAGACCGCCAAATCACCACTGATTACTCCCAGAACACCTTCAAAACATGCACATCATTGAACACCCTTTAAAAACCAACAAACCCGAA